AGAGACAACAGACGAGTGGCCTGTAAATAATGAAGAAATTAAGAAAAAGACGCTAAGGGATGAAGAGCTAAGTGAAGTAAAAAAATATATTGAGGCAGAAAAATGGCCTTCACAGGTAAAATAATCTTTATTACCATATTACCGTAGAAAAAATGAGCTAACTATTGAAAAAGATATCCTCATGTGGGGATATAGGATAGTTATATCATTGACACTACGTAAAAAAATGTTAGCAGAGCTCCACTCAAGTCATTTTGGCATAGTTAAAACAAAAAATCTAGCAAGGTCATATGTTTACTGGCCAAATCTGGACAAAGAAATTGAAGAAACCTGTAAAAGCTGTATATATTGTCTACAGAATAAACAAGCACCCCCCAGAACAGAATTGACACCTTGGAGGCTCGAGAAGGAGCCCTGGAAGAGAGTACTTGGATTTTTGTGGGCCATTGGAAGGTAAAATATTTCTGATAGCTGTGGATGCATACTCAAAGTGGGTAGAAGCTTTGGTGATGAGATCAATGACATCAATGGAGACAGAAGAGAAAATTAAAATCCTCTGCTCACGATGGGGTTTGCCAAATACAGTGGTAACAGACAATGGAACTCAGTTCACTGCAGAAAATGTGCAGACATTTTTCAACAGAAATGCTATAAAACACATTACATCACCACCTTACAACCCTCAATCAAATGGGCTCGCAGAAAATGCTGTTAAAACATTTAAAAATAATTTGAAGGCAAGACTTTCAGATCCGAAGAATAAGGGTAAAAGTATTTCAATGATGGTTTCAGAATTTTTGCTTTTTTCCAGAACTGCCAAACACTCTAGCACAGGAGAGACGCCAGCTAAGTTGATGCTGAATAGAGAAATAAGAACTAGAATGGATGTGTTAAGAGAAGGGATAGAGAAGGTCGGGGAAAAACAACAGAAACAACAGAGTAAGGGCACAGAAACCATCCAGAGACAAAGAAAAACTCAAGAAAAGCAGCAAAAAGATTATGGAGGTAAAGCCAGAGATTTTGAGACAGGGGAGGAGGTGATGGTGGCTGATTATAGAGTGCCAAACAAAACAAAATGGATTCAAGCATGTGTGATGAAGAGACTAGGAAGATCAACTTACATTTGCAAGATCAAAGAAGGGAATAAGTGGAAAAGACATGCAAACCAAATACATAGAATGGACCAGAGGAATCAAGAACAGGAAAAGACCAGGACAACAGAAGTGCAAGCAAAAAAACCTTTTGTACCATCAAAGTATTATAGTAGCCTGGAAGAGACAGACGAGACAGGACAGGAAAATATAGAAGTCGAAGAGACCCAGCAGCAAAAAAAAGACCAAGACAGAATTGAACAATCTGGAAACGTAAGACAGCCCGAGACTTCAAGTGCATCTGGCGATTCGAGCGAGGATATTTCTATAGATGTATTCGATAAGTCGACTAAACAATATATTTCAAAAATAATAGATATTCATAAACCTGTAGTAGATGTAGATAATCCTAATCTTTCTGTTTCTAGCTTGCAAACTAAATTGATTCCACCTGCCTCTGGTGTCGGAGCCAAAACTGACAAATTAATGGGAGCTGTGCTCCAAATTAGTGTTAAGCGTCAAAGTGATAGTAGGGAGACAGGGAGCAATCGAAATGAAGTTAAGGGTCCAGATAGGCAAAAGGAAAAACAAATTGTGAGCAAACCTTAGAAGTTTAAAGAATACATCATGGAGATGGATTAATTGATATTCATTGTTGTATATAATATTTTGCATTGTTCCTTTTGCAGGTTTGAACCTGAACAGACTAATGTAAAATTGTTTATTGTTCGATTAGGTAACGAAGACTATAGAGTATGGCTTTGTTGTTATGGTTTATTCACAGAGGAGTATTTTTTGATATTTATAATTGTGACATAGGATTAATTGAATTGTCTCTCTCACAGATACTTTCCAACTAAGGGTGAGGGTGTGTAGCGTCAGAACTGAGCGCAAGCGCAACCTTGTGAAACCGATGCCCAGCGGAGACGAAAACGAAGGAAAACCTACGTCAAGTCAGTCTGTACCTGATTGCCTTAGCCACAGCAACGCTCTGTTTCCTTTACTTGTTACGTCACGACTCGGAAGCTAAAATACTATTTTATATTGACCAAGTACTTTCATACAGTATAAATAAATGTTATAATTAGCGGGATTGTTTCATTAACCACTCGAACACAACAGATACGAGGTTGGTTAAATTATGGCAAAATTGCGAAATTTAATGACCAATAAAATGCCGTTTCGAAATTTGGAAAATTCCGGATACTTCCGAAGATATTCGGAAAAAACCGAAATTTTGCATCATCAACTATTTTTCTAAATATGGACTCTTATTTTTTATTTCAGATTTTAAGAGCTTTTGATGTCTCAAAACTTATGACGTATCGTATTTATTCGAAAAAATTATATTATTGGCACTTTCCATAAGAACTAAATGTGTTAAAGAGAGACAGAGAAGAGAATTTTGGTAGGAAATTACTAAAAACTAATTTTCGAATAACTGCGATACGACATAGGTTTTGGGACACCAGAATCTCTTAAAATCTGGAATAAAAAATCAAGTTTCGTATTTAAAAAAATAGAGTTGAGGATGGTCGCCCAAAGACGAAACGTCGAATCTGAAATTTTGTAGTAACAACTTGTAAAAGGAAAAAAGTGACAATGATGAAGTGACATTTATTTTAAAATTGCTCTTCAAATAGACTCGGGGAAAAAAAAAATCATTTTGCAAAATTTCGGCTTTTCCCGAATATCTTTGGAAGTATTCGGAATTTTTACAAATTTCAAAACGGCATTTTATTAGTCATAAAATTGCGCAACTTTGCTATAATTTAACCGACCTTGTATCTTTTATAGTTTCCAATATCTCAATGGTCACCCTCGAATTTGGGACACCCTGTACAGTGTGTCCCATTTTGGTTGTCCATAAGGGATAACGCGGGTGCTATTGGAGTTAGGAGGATGCGGTTTCCGCGAACGTTGGCTACTTTTTTGTCAAACGGAAAATGGCGCCAACAGAATTGTCATCGCTCTTTTTGTTTTTTAGAAACAAGGTGTTTTTGAAAAGTTGCATTTTGGGACACTCCTTGTATCTCGGTCCCCTCATAAGTAATCGAGAAGGTGTCAACGGTTTCTTATAGATATTTTTACCTAACTTCCAGTGACGTAGTCAGTTTTTCTCTACAAGTAATAGTTTTTAAATTATGAACCAAAGATATGTTTTTGCAAATGAGACACCCTATATATTGGTAGCTCATTAGATAGCATTGCTTTTTCTGATTTCAATGATATAAAGTTCGATAGGTTTATTTCTATCATGTCCAGCGGCGCACCCAGGGGATCAGGGTCTCCCCCAGACCACCCCTCTAAAACTGTATTTTTACGTATAAAAAATGTAGCAACATCAAGGCGAGGCACCCTGACACCTAATTTTTTTTTAAAGATTTTCAGTCACAAGCCACAACCCATGTAGGGCCCCAAACATATTTTCTGAGTGCGCCACTGATCATGTCTGTTTTTTTCATAAGAAACAATGTGTCAGAAAAGGACTTTGCATTCGTAAGGAAAATGAGAAAGGTCTCTTTCTAACACATTGTTTCTTATGAAAAAAAAACAGAAAAACATTTTTTGCTCAAAAACTGTTAGAGATAAACGTATCAAATTTTATATCATTGAAATCAGAAAAAGCAGAGCTATCTAATGAGTTTATAATATATAGGGTGTCTCATTTGAAAAAACGTATGTTTAGTTATTTCATAATTTGAAAAATATCACTTCTAGAGAAAAATTGACTACGCCACTGGAAATTACGTTAAAATATCTATAAGAAACCGTGACAACGACGATCACCTATGAGGGAACCGAGATACAAGGGGTGTCCCAAAATGCATCTTTTTCGGAAACACCTTGTATCTGAAAAACAAAAAGAGCGATGACAATTCTGTTGACGCCATCTTTCGTTCGAGAAAAAAGTAGCCAACGTTCGCGGAAACCGCATCCTTCTAACTCTAATAGCAACCCAGTTATCCCTTATGGACAACTAAAATGGGACACACTGTACAGTAGCCCAGTAATATAAAGTTAAGGTAAAAATTTACGTAACTACTCTACCTAAATTCTAAGTTTTTTTCAAGTCACAATAAGGTTAAATTTGACTTAAATATAACGCATAATGTCATGCTTAAGGTACGGTTCTGCATACTTTGTATAAAATTAGGCATCATTTTCATAGTATTTAGCATAATTTCAATGGAATTCCTCATAGTTTCTACGGGATTTCGTATAATTTTTATGGAATTTTTGCATAATTTTTATGGAATTCCACATAATTTCGATGGGTTTTTAATGTAATTTAATTGAAACTCAATGATTTTTTTGGAATTCTACGCCATTATTCTAGAATTTCATTTAATTTCACTGAATTTTCGCATAATTTTTTTAGAATTTTGTTTAATTTCTATTGAAATCTATGTATTTTTTTTTAAAATGTAATACCTGAACCAATAACGACGTTTACGTTGTCAGTTATGCGTCGCGTACTATCCTAACAAACCGTACCTTAAGTAGATGCAAAATTTGATGTAACAAAACTTTGGATTTTTGGCCCTGAAAAAAAAATCAAATTTTGACTATTACAGGCTCTTGATTGGCTCCAGGAAAGTTTTCCAGAGAATCAAGAACTGATAATAGTTTAAATTTTGATTGTCTGTGGCTCTTGATCCAAACTTTTCCTAAATTTGTCTCAGAAAAATACTTGAATACGTCACAAGAGACTTAAAGTTTGCAGGACAAAAAATGTATATAAAATAAAAAACTCTGGAAAGACAAAATAAACTGCAAAACATTAGTGACACTTATTCTATAGTAATCTTAACAATTTCCTTGCCAAGAAATCTTATCTTGTCCTTGTCTATCCAGAATGCAACTTAATAAAGTGATATTTTTCAACAATAACAATTATCGGTTGACCTCTACTGCAATAAACAACATTTCTAGAAAAATTCCCATTCTATTTGAAATATATCGCCTCGCAAACAACACACAAACATCAAAAATGACTGCACTTAAATGGGGTATAGTTGGTGCAGGACGAATTTCCCATGACTTTGTCACGGCCGTCCAGACTTTGCCAGAAAGTAACCATGAAGTTGTAGCAGTTGCAGGAAAAAATAAGGAAAACGTGGAAAAGTTTGCCAAGGAACACAACATCACAAGATGGTATGATGATTATGAAAAGTTGGCTGATGATAATGAAGTTGGTAAGTAGAAAATCATGAAAAATTATTGATCTAAATTCGTCATATTTATTATAGATATAGTGTACATTGGTAACTTGCATATTCAACACTTTGAAGCATCTAAATTAATGCTTGAACACAAAAAACATGTCTTATGCGAAAAACCTTTTACCATGAATGAAAAACAAACCACTCGATTAGTGGAAATAGCTAGAGAAAAGAAACTTTTCCTTATGGAAGCAGTTTGGTCCAGATGCTTTCCAGCTTACAAAAAAATGAAGGAAATCATAGACTCTGGCGCTATTGGAGATGTTTTATTTTGCTCCGTACACTTTGGCCTTGCCATACAGCACGTTGAAAGATTAACGTAAGAAACTTTACCAGCAATAATCAAAAACAATAATTATTATAATTTAGATCTACGAAATTGGGAGGAGGAGCAATTCTAGATCTAGGCATCTACATCATCCAGTTTCAGCAGTACATTTTCCGAGGGCTAAAGCCAGAAGAAATCGCAGTAAATGGCCATAAAAATAGTGCAGGAACAGACGAATCTGTTGGAGCTGTGATAACTTACCCAAATGGTAAGATGGCAGTGGTAAGCACCTCTGCTAGAGTAGTTTTGCCCAACGAAGGAGTTGTTGTTGGAACTAAAGGTGAGATCTAAGCAAATTCAATCAATAAACCAATGTTTCACCATTGATCTTTATATAATGCAATATAATTATTTACTAGAACTATAGATAATTAGAAATTAATACCTATGATTTAGGTATTTTACGTCTTCCTTCATTCTGGGCTCCAACTCAACTAATAACGCCTGATGAAACCTTTGAATGGCCCTTACCAAAGTCTTCTGTCCCTTTTCTACACATTAATAGCGCTGGATTGTCTTATGAAGCCGAACAAGCAAGACAATGTATCAAAAAAGGTACAATTTTTTGTTTAATTGTAGTCCTTTTCTATTTGGGCTTATTTCAGGTTTGCTAGAATGTCCAGAAATTACTCACAACGAATCAATAGAGATTGCCAGACTTATGGATTTGATGAGAAAGCAAATGGGGGTTGTTTTTCCAGAAGACGAGCAAGAATTTCAATAAAAAATAAATAAATATATTATATTATAACTACAATAAAACTAGTGTTGATATTAATTCACCCACTTCTCAGTATTGGTTAAGATTATCTTAATAAACAAATCCAGGAATTTGTTCCAATTATTCAATTTATCTTGGGACATGGATTTAGTAAAGAGTTCCATTAGAACACATTTTTCAGATCATTGTAAGCAACATCAGGCACGTTCCTGGAAACATGAGCAATGCCTTATTTGGCCACTAGTTGTTCCAGCATATCTGGATCGTCGATGTGAAGGCGTACATCAAGCTGATACAATGCGCTTCGAATTTGTTGTTCTGAATCAATTCCTCTACAGGTATGTTTCGGAAAGGAAAAAGCAAGTGACATTGAGATTATTGCTGGAATAAACTTTTAAAAAAGTAAATTATAAATAATTGTTTCTTGGACTAACTTTATAAATATGGCCATTCCAGTTTCCAAACTGGCCTTTCCTTTTGTAAGCTTTTTCCAGGTGGTTGTTAAATTATATTTGTTCTTAGAAGTCAGCCCTGTTACTGGATCTGGATCGTCAGTTAAACTGCCTGTAAAATAGCTTAGAATGATACCCATTTTGCCTGGATAAAAATTGTATTGTTTGATTTATTTAATTTTTCCAGGGTCTTAATTAAAATAATTGTACTTTTGAGATATGTAAGTACCTAATAGTTATTTATTGTATAAGTGTTTTAGGAAGCTTTTTATCCATGCAAGAATGTTTAAACGCGAGAACGAAGTTCGAGCATTTAATTTTCTCAAGTGGATAAAATGCAACTAAAATACGAATTTAATACAACGTTTTATCCACAATCACACGTAGGTATATACACATGGCGGATGGAAGAGCTCCTCTGTTGCTGAAAGTTATATCGAGGATTCGGATTCAGGATTCCATTTAATAAACTTAGTATTGCAAACAAAATCCAAGGGGAAAATAGGTGTCCCTTGAGGAGACACCCATTATTCCTGTTCCTGGTAATTCTGCCAAAACACCCATAAACGTGCGTTTTCAAGCGGATGGAAATTATCACCTTTTTATCAACAATAACGAAGTTATAGGAGACAAATCGAACAATCTATAAATATAAATTTTAATGTTAATATCAATAAATAAAATAAAAATTTCGTATTTCTCAATTTCATTATTCCACTAGTGGAATAAAGTTATTTTATCCCACTAGTGGATAAAGTATCACTTTAGACGCTTCATATGAGTGGATAAAACTGCCATTATTTAATGATTGTGGATAAACATTTTTATTTAAACTCATAAGACAAATTATTACATTCAATGTTAAACTATATAATTATATACAAAAAGTCAATTATTAAAACAATTAGGTAAAATACCTACTTTACTACTTATGACAATAAAAATCTTAAGGTATGTATAAGTACTTAACATTTACTCTTATCTAGAAGGCTTCCATATTCAAGCCTTTGTATTTTGTTCATTTTCCAGCCCTTTAAGGATTACCGAAAAGGCAACGTTCAGCGTCTTTTTCCAAGCTTCAACTTCGTCATTTTTGAATAAAGCCGAGAATAGTTCGATTGCGGATTCCTTTAAGTGCTGAAAAAGGTATCAAATTAACTCTTGGAAGTTTTTAGCTTATCTAATTGCGATTATCTCAGGAACTATTAGTTCAAATAAGTTGAAATTTTCAGGGATTGTAGTTCTGTACTGGAATAAGAATCGCTGAAAATTTCAGCTCTATATCTTAAATAGAAAAAAAGTTATGACCTTTCAAAGTTTTCCAAAATCTAAATCATAAGGTAGGTACCTTCTTACTAAAACGATGAAATTTCAATTTTTTTTTTGTTGAGATTTTGTGTCCTAATGGTCATTTGGGATCCCCCAAACTCCATACACTAAATTATTCTCAGATTTGAAGCCGAAATCTATGAGAAAAAGCACTCAGGAAAATTGAAAACTTGATAAATCACCTCAAATTGCTTAACACGATTTTATCTCAGGAACTATAAGTCCAAATGAGTTGAGATTCTCAGGAACTGTAGTCCTCTACTGGAATAAGAATCGCTGAAAATTTCAGCTCTATATCTTAAATAGAAAAAAAGTTATGACCTTTCAAAGTTTTCCAAAATCTAAATCATAAGGTAGGTACCTTCTTACTAAAACGATGAAATTTCAATTTTTTTTTCGTTGAGATTTTGTGTCCTAATGGTCATTTGGGATCCCCCAAACTCCATACACTAAATTATTCTCAGATTTGAAGCCGAAATCTATGAGAAAAGGCACTCAGGAAAATTGAAAACTTGATAAATCACCTCAAATTGCTTAACACGATTTTATCTCAGGAACTATAAGTCCAATTGAGTTGAGATTTTCAGGAATATTAGTCCTCTACTGGAATAAGAATCGCTGAAAATTTCAGCTCTATATCTTAAATAGAAAAAAAGTTATGACCTTTCAAAGTTTTCCAAAATCTAAATCATAAGGTAGGTACCTTCTTACTAAAACGATGAAATTTCAATTTTTTTTTTGTTGAGATTTTGTGTCCTAATGGTCATTTGGGATCCCCCAAACTCCATACACTAAATTATTCTCAGATTTGAAGCCGAAATCTATGAGAAAAAGCACTCAGGAAAATTGAAAACTTGATAAATCACCTCAAATTGCTTAACACGATTTTATCTCAGGAACTATAAGTCCAAATGAGTTGAGATTTTCAGGGACTGTAGTCCTCTACTGGAATAAGAATCGCTGAAAATTTCAGCTCTATATCTTAAATAGAAAAAAAGTTATGACCTTTCAAAGTTTTCCAAAATCTAAATCATAAGGTAGGTACCTTCTTACTAAAACGATGAAATTTCAATTTTTTTTTCGTTGAGATTTTGTGTCCTAATGGTCATTTGGGATCCCCCAAACTCCATACACTAAATTATTCTCAGATTTGAAGCCGAAATCTATGAGAAAAGGCACTCAGGAAAATTGAAAACTTGATAAATCACCTCAAATTGCTTAACACGATTTTATCTCAGGAACTATAAGTCCAATTGAGTTGAGATTTTCAGGAATATTAGTCCTCTACTGGAATAAGAATCGCTGAAAATTTCAGCTCTATATCTTTAATAGAAAAAAAGTTATGACCTTTCAAAGTTTTCCAAAATCTAAATCATAAGGTAGGTACCTTCTTACTAAAACGATGAAATTTCAATTTTTTTTTCGTTGAGATTTTGTGTCCTAATGGTCATTTGGGATCCCCCAAACTCCATACACTAAATTATTCTCAGATTTGAAGCCGAAATCTATGAGAAAAGGCACTCAGGAAAATTGAAAACTTGATAAATCACCTCAAATTGCTTAACACGATTTTATCTCAGGAACTATAAGTCCAAATGAGTTGAGATTTTCAGGAATATTAGTCCTCTACTGGAATAAGAATCGCTGAAAATTTCAGCTCTATATCTTAAATAGAAAAAAAGTTATGACCTTTCAAAGTTTTCCAAAATCTAAATCATAAGGTAGGTACCTTCTTACTAAAACGATGAAATTTCAATTTTTTTTTCGTTGAGATTTTGTGTCCTAATGGTCATTTGGGATCCCCCAAACTCCATACACTAAATTATTCTCAGATTTGAAGCCGAAATCTATGAGAAAAGGCACTCAGGAAAATTGAAAACTTGATAAATCACCTCAAATTGCTTAACACGATTTTATCTCAGGAACTATAAGTCCAATTGAGTTGAGATTTTCAGGAATATTAGTCCTCTACTGGAATAAGAATCGCTGAAAATTTCAGCTCTATATCTTAAATAGAAAAAAAGTTATGACCTTTCAAAGTTTTCCAAAATCTAAATCATAAGGTAGGTACCTTCTTACTAAAACGATGAAATTTCAATTTTTTTTTTGTTGAGATTTTGTGTCCTAATGGTCATTTGGGATCCCCCAAACTCCATACACTAAATTATTCTCAGATTTGAAGCCGAAATCTATGAGAAAAAGCACTCAGGAAAATTGAAAACTTGATAAATCACCTCAAATTGCTTAACACGATTTTATCTCAGGAACTATAAGTCCAAATGAGTTGAGATTTTCAGGGACTGTAGTCCTCTACTGGAATAAGAATCGCTGAAAATTTCAGCTCTATATCTTAAATAGAAAAAAAGTTATGACCTTTCAAAGTTTTCCAAAATCTAAATCATAAGGTAGGTACCTTCTTACTAAAACGATGAAATTTCAATTTTTTTTTTGTTGAGATTTTGTGTCCTAATGGTCATTTGAGATCCCCCAAACTCCATACACTAAATTATTCTCAGATTTGAAGCCGAAATCTATGAGAAAAGGCACTCAGGAAAATTGAAAACTTGATAAATCACCTCAAATTGCTTAACACGATTTTATCTCAGGAACTATAAGTCCAAATGAGTTGAAAATTTCAGGAATATTAGTCCTCTACTGGAGTAAGAATCGCTGCAAATTTTAGCTTTATATCTTCAATAGAAAAAAAGTTATGACCTTTCAAAGTTTTCCAAAATCTAAATCATAAGGTAGGTACCTTTTTACTAAAACGATGAAATTTCAATTTTTTTTTTGTTGAGATTTTGTGTCCTAATGGTCATTTGGGATCCCCCAAACTCCATGCACTAAATTATTCTCAGATTTGAAGCCGAAATCTATGAGAAAAAGCACTCAGGAAAATTGAAAACTTGATAAATCACCTCAAATTGCTTAACACGATTTTATCTCAGGAACTATAAGTCCAAATGAGTTGAGATTTTCAGGAATATTAGTCCTCTACTGGAATAAGAATCGCTGAAAATTTCAGCTCTATATCTTAAATAGAAAAAAAGTTATGACCTTTCAAAGTTTTCCAAAATCTAAATCATAAGGTAGGTACCTTCTTACTAAAACGATGAAATTTCAATTTTTTTTTTGTTGAGATTTTGTGTCCTAATGGTCATTTGGGATCCCCCAAACTCCATACACTAAATTATTCTCAGATTTGAAGCCGAAATCTATGAGAAAAAGCACTCAGGAAAATTGAAAACTTGATAAATCACCTCAAATTGCTTAACACGATTTTATCTCAGGAACTATAAGTCCAAATGAGTTGAGATTTTCAGGAATATTAGTCCTCTACTGGAATAAGAATCGCTGAAAATTTCAGCTCTATATCTTAAATAGAAAAAAAGTTATGACCTTTCAAAGTTTTCCAAAATCTAAATCATAAGGTAGGTACCTTCTTACTAAAACGATGAAATTTCAATTTTTTTTTTGTTGAGATTTTGTGTCCTAATGGTCATTTGGGATCCCCCAAACTCCATACACTAAATTATTCTCAGATTTGAAGCCGAAATCTATGAGAAAAAGCACTCAGGAAAATTGAAAACTTGATAAATCACCTCAAATTGCTTAACACGATTTTATCTCAGGAACTATAAGTCCAAATGAGTTGAGATTTTCAGGAATATTAGTCCTCTACTGGAATAAGAATCGCTGAAAATTTCAGCTCTATATCTTAAATAGAAAAAAAGTTATGACCTTTCAAAGTTTTCCAAAATCTAAATCATAAGGTAGGTACCTTCTTACTAAAACGATGAAATTTCAATTTTTTTTTTGTTGAGATTTTGTGTCCTAATGGTCATTTGGGATCCCCCAAACTCCATACACTAAATTATTCTCAGATTTGAAGCCGAAATCTATGAGAAAAAGCACTCAGGAAAATTGAAAACTTGATAAATCACCTCAAATTGCTTAACACGATTTTATCTCAGGAACTATAAGTCCAAATGAGTTGAGATTTTCAGGGACTGTAGTCCTCTACTGGAATAAGAATCGCTGAAAATTTCAGCTCTATATCTTAAATAGAAAAAAAGTTATGACCTTTCAAAGTTTTCCAAAATCTAAATCATAAGGTAGGTACCTTCTTACTAAAACGATGAAATTTCAATTTTTTTTTTGTTGAGATTTTGTGTCCTAATGGTCATTTGAGATCCCCCAAACTCCATACACTAAATTATTCTCAGATTTGAAGCCGAAATCTATGAGAAAAGGCACTCAGGAAAATTGAAAACTTGATAAATCACCTCAAATTGCTTAACACGATTTTATCTCAGGAACTATAAGTCCAAATGAGTTGAAAATTTCAGGAATATTAGTCCTCTACTGGAGTAAGAATCGCTGCAAATTTTAGCTTTATATCTTCAATAGAAAAAAAGTTATGACCTTTCATAGTTTTCCAAAATCTAAATCATAAGGTTCTTCTTACTAAAACGATGAAATTTCAATTTTTTTTTTTTTTGTTGAGATTTTGTGTCCTAATGGTCATTTGGGATCCCCCAAACTCCATAAACTAAAATTCTCAGATTTGAAGCCGAAATCTATGAAAAAAGGCACTCAGAAATATTGAAAAATTGATAAATCACCCCAAATTGCTTATCACAGAAACTTTAAATCCAAATAGCCGAAAATTTCAGGAATTGTCGTCCTCTACTAATAATCGCTGAAAATTTCAGCTTTTTATCTATAAAAGAACTTAAAAGTTTAGTTCTGAAATATCTGACCCTTTGGAAACAATAAGGTTCAAATCAAAAAGTTATAAAGTTTGGACGGATACTCAATAGACGTTTATCAAAATATTTTAAATTTAAATATGACGCAAATATTGTAAAATTTATCGATCATAAAATATTCTGGTCCAATCTTAAATGAAGCGACTTTAAATTTATCATAAGTTCTAATAATAGTTGTCCGTTGATCATTTTCTGTGGGTCAACCATAAATATTATCTTATAGATTTTAATTATAATCAATCAGGCATAATTTTGAATAGGAATTAATCTGGAACAAACACGAATTAAAAAATTGTAATTCACAACCATATTCATATGATGTAATCACCTATTTTTGATGTGCTATATTTGCATTTTGATATTTTTATTTCCCAGGAAAATTATTCATTTATCGTAATATATACCTACATTTTCCAAAAAAAAATATCATACTATTTCAAACGACGATGTTTCAACGTCTGAGGCTACTTTAACTTAGAAATAACTTAAATTTGGAACAATTTAAACTTACATTGAAACCATCAGGTGTAACATTCCTAGAAACATGAGTAGAACCAGTTTTGGTTAAAATCTGGATAAGCAAATCAGTGTCATTAAGGGCATCTACCACAGACGATAATGCATAGATTACACTATTAGCGTGCGCCCTAAATCTAGTGTTGGAACTAAATTCAGACGCAGGTATGTCTTTGAAAGGAAACAACTCAACATACTCTGGATATTTTTGGAAAAACCTACGAAAAATCTTAGGTTACATTTGAAAAAAAATAAATCAATAAATTGAACTTACAGTGACAATAATGCTACTCCAGAATCCGTAGGATTTTTCATAAGCTTAGCCCAAGAAGTCTTAACCAAATATCTATCCCTTGAAGTAAGAGTGGTAACGGGGTTGGGATCGTCAGTACGTCCAGTATTTGTTGGTAAAATGTAACTCACGATGGTGCCCATGGTTTTCCTGAAACAAATTCCAATTGACTATGAGTCAATTTTTTTTTAGCCAATGCAGACTTACCGGAAATTAGACATTATAAAACACACTGTTTATTGAAGAACTAATATTTTAAGACTGAATATAAGCTTATCATAATTACAGGGACCTTTTTGGTGATAATTTTTAATCTCGTGATTCGAATTTTGTTATTATCATTGATTAATGGTTCGTCAAAACAACTGGACAATAATTTTATAAATAAATAAAAATCTTCAAAAGGCAATCGTGGACAAAAAAGTTTAGGAAGGAAATGTCACTGGTTGCATATTAATTAAATATTTGATTTTTAATACGTAGGTAGTAAAAAAAAAAATATTTTAAATGATATTACCTATAATTAAAAATTATTTGTTGTTATTAACACTGTTAATTATTTACTTATCAAATTCCATGAATATAATCGTAAAAGAAAATTCACCTTTTATACATAACAAGGCAGTAGTTTCAATTTGTCGTAAGTATGGGGGAGCAAAAAAATTCAATGGTGAAAATTGATCACTTAGAAAAGGGTGAATAATACCCTTTTTTCCTCCATAGAAGAAATTCAATTTAATTTTTTTTAGAAAGAAAAATCACGACCGTTCTATTTACCAATATTTCAAGAAACACAAATTAATTGATTTTTAGGTTTTGAATTTTTTGGGTGCTCAATATAAAATTTTGAAAATTGATTTTAAACATTTCCTAATTCAAAAACTCTTACCTCAAAATCGTTATTCGTCCGCACACACACACACACACAGTAAGATCTCAATATAAACTTAGACAGTCTATGATGTCTTGAAGAGGCGCCCCACAAACTCACTCTAACTAAATTAAACTCTCTTAATTTTAGACAAGGACCGTGTATGCAACGCAAAACAAACAACAAACTTCTCTGCGAAGTTGTCCAAAGAGATCATCAAATTCGAAATTGGCACCGAAACTATTCTGGATATTGTTTAAATGCTTTTAAACATGCCTTTGATATAATAATTTGTAATGTAATGAAAGGCGAACGACGAAACAAGCAGGACCGGTTCGAGAATTGTATAATATGTAATAGAGGATGATTCAATTTATACATCAATAACTATATTATTTCTCTAATTATAAGATAATTCAAACCTGGTTATGGCTAGAAAATTTCTAGGAACATTGTCAGAAGAATTTGAGGAGATACTTAAACTTAACTAATGATAACAGGTAAAAAGAATTTTCAAACCAAAGTCAAACAGACGAAAATATATTGTTTGTATTAAATCTACTAATTCTCATGAAAATAATAGTTCTTCAACTATGTTTAGGTATAACTTCATTATAAGGTGGGGTAGATTTTGTTAATAGTACATTATAATGTACTATTAACAAAATCTAGGTATATATATATACCTAGGTAGAGAAGTTGGTCATTATATACCGAGCGCTTTTATAAACCGAGGCGCGAAGCGCCGAGGTTTATAATGCGTAAGGTATATAATGACTTTCTCTACCGAGGAATATATAGAATTTTTTTTACTACTACTAGTAGAAATAAAAAATAGTTTTGAAATCTGTGCTCAAATTATTTTTTCTTATCGGAAATACTGCCCTCTATCAACAGTTTAAGGTAATTTCCTATAATATACATACAGGAATCTGTTTTTTAAAAAATTTACAGTTTGAAGTTGAAATTAAACCAATAGAAACCTGTAATGTTATGACAATATCCTTGTGCCATGACGTCATTTTCATTATTGACCTAGGTTTTTTTTCATTATTTTCATTATTAACCTAGGGAGAGAAATTCAATTTTTTCCCAGAAAAATAGATTGAATAATGACTACTTCTCAGGTTAGTAGTAAAAAAAATAATTTGTATTCTTTAATTAATAAGTTGGTACTTACTAGTATAGTAGTTAGATTTATTTTATTTGTTTGTTTGTTTCTTCCTCGATCAATAATTAATATTATTCACTTTCCTTGTTTTCTTCAAGTTTTTTTTAAATTCTGCATTGATTTTATTGGTATTTGTGTCTATTCAGGTTTTAGTTACATATCTATTTTTATTCTGCCATCATTTATTCTATTTTAGTACAATTTCGTCCAATTTTCTTGCAATTTCGTGTGTTTTATGCAGTAAATTGCAAAGTTTAAAGCTGGATTTATACAGCAAATAAAATAAAATAACAAATAAGAAATAACAATTAACCTAATGAGATACCCTTAAAGTATTTATACAGAAAATAACAAATAAAATAAGAAATGCATTAGCTATGTATTTGATATTTTATCTTATGTTATCTTATTTTATTTTTTTTACTACTTACCTGAGAAATAGTCATTATTCAATCTATTTTTCTAGGAAAAAATTGAATTTCTCTCCCTAGGTGAATAATGAAAATAATGAAAAAGTCCCTAGGTCAATAATGAAAATGACGTCATGACGCAAGGATATTGTCATGTTTCTATTGGTTCAATTTCAATTTCATGCGTCAATTTAAAACAAAATACAGGTTTCTGTAGGTACATAGGAAGTTATCATAAGCTGTTGATAGAGGGCAGCACTTTCAAGAGGGCGTTCAAAAAAAAATAATTAGAGCACAGATTTTAAGCAAATTTTTTATTTTCTACTAGCAGTAGTAAAAAAAATTCTATATATTCCTCGGTAGAGAAAGTCATTATATACCTAGGTACCTATATAATATACTATTATTTGCTGTATAAATCCACCTTTATTTTGTTCTATTGATTGTTTTTTCTTTTACTAATCGCTTATTCATTAGCTGTAACTGTTAATTATTTTTTTTACTACTAACCTTAGAAATAGTCATTATTCAATCTATTTTTCTAGGAAAAAATTGAATTTCTCTCCCTAGGTTAATAATGAAAATAATGAAAAAATACCTAGATTAATAATGAAAATGACGTCATGACGCAAGGATATTGTCATGTTTTTATTGGTTCAATTTCAATTTCATACGTCAAATAAAAAAAAAAATACAGGTTTCTGTTGATAGAGAACACCACTTCCAAGAGGGCCTTCAAAAAAAATAATTAGAGCACAGATTACAAATTACTCATTTTCCACTAGGGGCTGGTTTCTCAATAGCAGGTCACCTCCAGATTAAGCTAACTCCAGAGTAAACATTGTAATTTGACACGTTAACTCTGGAGTTAAAACAACCCGGAGGTGACTTACTATTGAGAAACCGGCCCTAACAGTAGTAAAAAAAAAATCTAAAGTCATTATATACCTTACGCATCCCGCATTATAAACCTCAACTATTTTAGGGAAGCCCTAACGATAAGTATTCCCTAGTCCCTAAAATGACATTTTTACATGGAGAAATGTCAGTTTAAGGCATACCTATTGTTAGGGCTTCCCTAAAATAGTTGGTGGAAATGGCCATTAGAAAAATTAAGAAGAAAACAAAAATTCAAGATCAGGGAATAGACAAAGTATGAGATGGAAAAATTGAAAAATAAAGATTAAATAAATATAAGTATACTTAGATAATAATAATATTAATAATAATACCTGAGTAAACATCAAAAAATTTGCAAAAATATGGCGGCATGGGCGTGGCTAACTTCTATATTCATATTCAAAATTTGCAAAAATATGGCGGCGGTACCAAATTTCTATTTGAAAAGGTGAAGTCACTGTAGGTGGGCCGGGGCCATTGGAAAGGGTTGAAAAGGAAACAACCAATCAAATACCTTGACGATACATAAACCCCGGAAAGGGGCGGGGCTCAACTAACCAATTAAATGCCCTGCTGATATCACTCGCATCTGATTGGAAAGGGGCGGGGCCTATATCCAACCTATCAAATGCTTTGTTGATATCCTTGCGTTTGATAACGCGTCAGCTACAGTGTTGCCAGCTTGACGGAATTATCCCCTTTTTGAGGAAATTTTCTATTTTCGTTCGCAAAAGGATAAAAGCGGAAAGAGGAATTTTTAAAGTCTATTTTTTTCTAGAGATAAAAGTCAAAATGACATTATGTTGGCGAAACAATCTTAAATTCTCGATGCTTTCAAATTTTTTATATAGAGAAAGCTTGTGTTGCCAACATAGTTACTAAATTTTTGACTTGGGGAATTATCTTCAAAAAAAAAACAGACTTTACATTCAATGAAAAATTGATAATTTTAAGTTTCTAGCACACAGTGGGCCATTGAACTTAAGACATTATTAAACTTTTTTTTTCAAAAACCCGCCATTTTCGAGATATTGAAATGTCTCAATTTAAATGGACCACCCTGTATAAGTATGATAAGTAGGGGTACAACATCTCATTCCCGTAAATGTAGGCGCAATAATTGTTTTTTTCCACTACCGCGCGTAAAGTACCTACTTACTTTACGCACCTTTTAGAAGACATAAAATGTCACGCACCAACGCGTAAACAGGGCCGTAGCCAGGGGGGTGGGCATTGGGGGGCAATGCCCTATCTTTCAAATGATCATGCCCTACCTTTAAAACACAACATGCGTTGAGGTTTCTCTATCTAAGAGTAGATAAATGAATAGGCCTGAAATCGAGTAAGTGCGAGGATAAGTGTTTCCAAAAACGCCTAAATATGCGGGGTGTTTGACGTTTTCACAGAGGAACTTTTTCCTTTCGAAAGATTGCGAATGCAAGGATAATAACACATACATATACTACCGTATAATGCCGTATACCGCTCAAAGACGACTGCACATCTTTTAGCGCATTGGAATAAAAAAAGATAGAAGAATCGGCCATTTTGACCTATGCTTTGACAATAATGAAATAATATAGCAAATTCCATTGGTAGAACCAGTGCAGAAAAAATGTATTTTTATTTCTTTCTTTTACAAGCTGGTAGAAAAAGATACGAATACACTCAGTGCGCACTAACTCTCCCAATGAAATTCGCTATAAAAGTTACAGATGACTGTAATAATTATTTTGAAAACATTATTCGACACCAAAATTTATAACAATGTTATTTATGAATTTGTGGAAGTCGTCATTTTTGAAATTCCCGCTAAAAATATAGGTCAAAATGGCAGCCTCCTATATGTTACACTGGTCGGTGGTCGGTCGTCGCCAGTGTTGCCAGAGTTTTTCGACGACATTCCTTCAAATGATTGGCTAAAACCCTTCATATCCTTCAAAACAGTAAAACAGTGGCGTGTGGCCGGCACAACGAAATAATTTACCAGAAAAAAACACTAACATGCAAGGATAATACACACTTCTAAGGATTGCTTATCGGCCTCGTTTTTGGTAATCGCCGCCATATTGGTTTGTATCCATAAGGTAAAAGCCCGCGGAATTATAACCTGTAGTTCAAACAGCCTACGTCAAAACGAGAAAGGAGATGCTGCCTACGTAACAACCGGTGATTTGGCGTGGTGGGAGGCTTCAGATTTGTTCCAAATAGGCCTCATGAGGATAGGCTATGGTGGTAGTGTGTATTATCCTTGACTAACATGAACGAAATTTCTTTTATTGAATTTTTAACCTAAAGCCTGAGCTACAGCACACAAACTGACGCAGTGGCGTAGCGAGAATTGGCGTTTCGTATTTTTTCCCATACAACTAATTAATTCGTTTTAATAAAAATTAAATTTGTTGGTGAAATGATTGGAATATTTGATGAATATACAATTTGCCTCAAAATCCTTCAAATTCGGATAAAAACCTTCAATCCTTCAGTAGTCAAAATTTTAGACCAAAACTCTTCATATTGAAGGAAATCCTTCAATTCTGGCAACACTGGTCGTCGCACTTTAGCGGTATACGTATTATTAGTGTATAAGTATGTGGATAATACACACTACTGCACAGGATTGTTTATCGGCCTGGTTTGTGGAAATCGTGGTCATCATATGGTCTACCACCATTGACAACTTCAACTACTGTGCTAAAATCAAGTACGCATAAAGCAAAAGCCCGCGTGAGGTAGGTACAGTCGTGAGCATTAAAAGTGAGTGGGACACCCGACTGACAGGTCTTGTCATTTTTCGCTATTTTGGGTGAATGATTATTTTCTGTACAACGGATTTTTTGCCAAATATGACAATCCCTGTCATTGCCGACGGTGTAGCTAGTGAGCCCGTTCTACAATAGGAAAAATCGGGTGTCCCATTTTTAATGCTCACGACTGTACCTGTGGTGTAAACACCCTACGTCAAGTCGAGGAATGACACGCTGCCTAGGTCATCACTGGTTCTTTGGCGTGGTAGGGAGCTTGAGATTTGATCTACGTAGGCCTTATAAGGATAAGCTATCCTGTAGTAGTACTTAGTGTGTATTATCCTTGGTGCGAATGGTCCAAAGCGGCGCGAGAATCAGCGCCATTTTGTTTGCCAGATATGTTATTTATTGAAACATTTGCCGTCGGCGCTATTACCCCCATTTTGTTTACCTATAAAAAATTCAAGGGGGGGGGGCAAGCAGTGTATGCCCTATGTCAAATTTGTCATGCCCTATCACAAATTTGACTCTAGCTACGGCCCTGCGCGTAAAGTAGTTTTTTTACTACTAACCTGAGAAGTAGTCAAGGTCTGTTTCTGTAGAAATCACAAACCAGTCAAAGCAAATTTCATTGGTTGAAAACAGTCAGAAAACTAGTTTCAACCAATGAAATTCACTCTGACTGGTTTTTGATTTCTGCAGAAACAGACCTATTATTGCATCAATTTTTCTGGGAAAAAATTGAATTTCTCTCCCTAAGTTAATAATGAAAATAATGAAAAAATACCTAGGTAAATAATAAAAATGACGTCATGACGCAAGAATATTGTCATAACGTAACAGGTTTCTATTGGTTTAATTTCAGTGTCAAACTGTCAATTTTAAATAAAGCAGGTTCCTGTATGTACATTATAGG